GTAGGTAAGACAGGGAAAGGATTCTGGGCGGAAGGAACCGTAGGTGCAAATGCACAAAGGCAGGCATCCAAGTGTGTGCTGTACTGGGTGGATGGTTTTCCATACTGGAATGTGGGGTGCAGGTTGGCCAGCCACATTTAGATAATGAGGCTGGAGAGCGGGCAGGGGCAGGTGGAATAGGGCCTCAGAAGCCATTCTAAAGGGCTGAGATTTTGCAAGTTACTGGAGGCCTGGGAATTTAAGGGTTTTGGGCAGGGTAACTATGCGACCACAGGGCTGAGAAAGGGGCACTAACAAGGAGCATGCTCAGAGCCTTTCTTCTAAAATTAGGGCTGCTATTTACTCCAGCTCCTACAGAGCAGGGAGTGGGTACAAAGTGCAAAAGTGCTGTCAGTCAAACTTCCAGGTGGTAGCTGTGTGCTTGAGTGACACAGGCAGGGACTCCCAGGCTGTTAATGCCGGAGGCCCTTTGAAGTCATTTAACCCATCCTCCCATGCTATGCATGGGCAACCTGAGGCCCAGGGAGAAAAGCAACCTGTCCAAGGTTTCATGGCACAGCCAGGACTGGAGTCCAGGCCTGTGGGCTCCTAGGTTGGTTCTCTCTTTGCAGATAGATCTGGCTTAAAGCGGAGCCCCACTGCCTTCCTGGCTATTTGACCTGAAGCAAGTTACTTAACTATGTAGTTTTGTGATCAGGACCGTGAAGGGAACATCTTTCTTTTGGGGTGGTTGTGGGGGCCTAAATGAGATAATGCAGCTTAATGCCTGGCAGGTGCATTATCTGCATTATCACTGTGCTCAGTGAGCAGTAAGGTTTTGTCTAAGCCTCGGGGCTTGCTTCTGCCCCTGCTCCTGGCACAATATCCCATGCCTGTCTCTGGTGGCGGTGGCCCTGAGGTCATACAGGGGCTCAGTAGCAGTTGAGCCAGCCAGGGGGCCATTTCTCAGGTTGTCCACACAGGCAGGGGCATACCTTGGCTTAGTTGGGGGTTAGGATAAATACTGATTTAAAAAAGCAATTTGGTCTGCATTACAAAATAAAATGAAGATGTACTGAAAGAGGTGCATATGTACTTTGGCATGGGTGGAATGCCTTTTATCATGAGAAAAGACTTTTCCATTTACATTGAGATTCAGGGCAGGATTCCCTGAAGTCCCAGCTCCTCTTGGAACTCTCACTGGGGAGTCAGTTTCCCTCCAGTGATTAACACCAACTTTCCAGGAAAGAGCCCTCTGCTCCTCACAGTCTTGTCACCCCTCCGGGCTTTCTTCCAGACTCCCTTGAGCTTTGACCCCCTAAGTAGCAGAATCCTGAAAGGGGAACAAGGTAGACTTGTAGGCTGCAAGCCGCAGGGTTTCCTGTGCCACCATGAAAGGAAAACCACTGCTAATTGTAACTGAGATGCAGTTTGTTGGGGAACAAACCCTGATTTCAGAAAGGTTACAATGTGAAAAAAAATAGGCATCTTACAATCAAAGAAAGCAGTGTCTGAGGACCAGGGTCAGCTGGACAGGATAGGTCAGTACGGATGGCAGGATGGAAATGCAAATGGAGGCCAATCCCCAAATGATACTTGGCCTCACAGTATTTATTTACCATATTTTTCTGTGTGAGCACAGACACGGGCTCTGTTTTGTTTACCACCATGTGCCCATCACTTCACTCAGAGTAGGTGTTCAACAAACATTTACTGAATGAGAAAAACAAAACAAAGCCACATTTATAAAACATGAGGAAAAACCCAGAAAAGAAAATAAATCATTCATAATCCCCACACTGGGCATATTTTGGCTTATTTCCTTCAAATGCTATGAATATGCTCTTTTATATACGTGTAAACATAACACATGATCAGATTTAGCTCCGGGTTCTGTTTTTGTCTTTCCCTATTAATATGAATGAAATGATAAAATGAGATGATGCGGAAATGCTTTGAAGACTGTAAAGTGTTGAACCAAATCTCTTATTATTAGTTATAATTATCACAGCAATATGGGTACGAATGAGGCTGATTTTCTGCGAATATACATCGAAGCAAACAATGAATCTGCCCTCAGGAGCCTGGAATGTGTTCTGCTCCTCCTCACAGTGGGGGGTCCCTCTGTTTCCTATTAAGAAGAGAAAGAGACTGAAGGACTCCTAGAAGTCATCAGCTCCAACTTCCCATCCAGCCTAGAAATTTCCTCAGTGTCACTAATGGAGGGTAAGTGGGGGGATGGAGAAATAAGCACATCTCTCAGGCTGATGACAAACAGCAACCTGCAAAGAGCTTCCTTCTTTCCAAGCCTGGCTAGCAGCTCGAAGGAGGTTTCAGAGAATGCTGCTCCCCTCCCCCGAGTACTAAAAGCAAGGAGGACAGAGGTGTCAGCACAGCTAAGTCACTTGTGACAGGCACGGCACTTACAGTAAACAAACCCCAGAGTCGGATTTGCTCTGGACAACTCGTCAAAAATTCACCTTTAGAGAGTCAAAGAAAAAAAAAAAAAAGAGAGTCAAAGAATTCGTGTTCACAGCTAGTAATTAGTCTGATCCATGCCGGCGTCTTTGAAGGGAGGAAGGTTTACTCACACAACACATGAAGGAAAGGCTGACAAGGATTCTCTCCTGGACCAAACTCTGGCCAGGCCCCTCGGAGCCCTTTTCTCAGCTAAGCCTCAGTGTTGGTCTACAGAGACCTGAACGACAAAGTTTCTTTCTTTTCCCTTTTTTTGGTAATCTATTGATGAGAGAGAGAGACAGAGAAAGAAATATTGATCTGTGGTTCCACTTATTTATGCATTCATTGGTTGATTCTTGTATGTGCCCTGACCACAGTTCAATTTCGCAACCTTGGTGTTTTGGGACAATGCTCTAACCAATCGAACTACCTGGCTAGGAAACTAACAGTTTCTAACAGCTCAAAGGATGACTCTAGATGCCCTCTTCCTTTCTCCCTCCCTTACAGGGTCCAGGTCTGAGAAAACTCAAAGCTGCCAAAAGAATTTACTACTTGTTCCTGCCAACACCTGAAGATAGGACCTCGGTCTCCCCGTCTTCATGGGAGGGTTGGGGTACAATGTGGGTAAGCCTCAGTTGGAAACGCGGATGGCCTTCACAGGGACCAATCTCTCCTTCCCACTCTTTGCAGGTTCACTTCTTGGACTCTGCTCAAGCCCCTTCTGTTCCTACTCCCCAACCCACCCTGATTTTTCCTTTAAAATGCCCAGTCACTTCTGTACAAATTGAAGCTGAGTTCAGTTCATGCTGAACCTTCTTTGCAATGAGTACATTACTGATTAAAATCTGCCCTGGCCGCTGTACTTGTGTCTGGCTTTGTTTATCTTTGACAGAACTCGATGGCTGGCTCTCACAACGAGGCTAATAGCTTGGGCTCCAATTCCTTCATCTGTACGCCTTGGCTTGTTGCATTCTTACTCAATAAATTTTTTTCAATTGCAGTTGACATTCGATATTATATTAGTTTTGAGTGTATAGCATAGTGGTCAGACATTTATATACCTTATAGAGTGATCCTCCCAATAAGTTGAGTACCCACCTGGAACCCACACACAATTATTACAATATTATTGACTACTCTCCGTGCTGTAATTTACATCCCTGAGACTATGTTTTTTTTTTTTTCCTCAAACCTTCAGCCCTGTACTTGGCTCCCTGCCCTCTGGTTTATGTCCTCCTTCTTTGTCCTTAAGGAGAGGTTTTCTGGGTGCACAGCTAGGTTCCCACCTTGCATACCCCTGCATGCTTCATTTCTGGTTGCACCACCTGCCTTAGACCCTGGGGCCTGCAAGGCCAGCCCAGCCCAGCCGCCTCTGCCCCTGCCCCAAAGCTGCCACCCCACCCCCCACATGCTGCAGTGGAGGCTGACCTTGGCCTTTAGCAACTGCCCAGGCATTAAGTACAGGGCACAGTTCCTGAGGCCTACACCATCAATTCCCCCCCCCCCCCCCCCCCCCGCCGAGATTAAAAAATATAGCTTACAATTTAAACCCAGATTCTTATACAGAGTATTATTGTTTTATAAAATGTCTACAGTGCTCTGGTCAGTACTAAATAAAAGATAACATCTGAGTTAAACTTGAAAAACAAGTTGAACTTGTGAGTTACATGTGTACCTCTTTGCAGATCACTCCTGCACTGTACTCCCCGATTCTCCCTTTCCCGTGCGGCAGCTGGTGCCTCTGACCACTCACTTCCCTCACTGGGAAGTGAGCCTCCCAGGGTGAATTGTCTTGTATGATCGGGTTAGGATTTCCTCAGAGGAACAGCCTAGCCAACTTTCATTCTAGGCAAACTGGGGATGAGAGAGAGAAATCGTCCCTGTGTCCTTCCACAGTCCTGCTTTGACACTTCCTCCCTGTAGGAGAATGTGCGCACATCTGCCTTCTACGACATGAAACCCATGTCAGACATGAGGCTATGCCAGTCCTCACTCCACTGACACGCAGAGTTGATGCAGCAGCCCTGCTAGGCTGGGAGGGTCCCTTCCCCAGCACCACGTCAGAGAGAGCAGGCAGGAGCCGTGCAAGAGGCTTCCTTCCACCCAAGCTCTATTACGAGAGTTGACACCCCTGTTTCTTTGCCTTTGTGTAGGCGACTTTGAATTAGAGCAACACAAGTAACGTGACATATCAAATCCTGGTTAGCAGTTTCCCATAGCGTGCACTGTTCTGCCTACCCCTCTCCCAAATATTTTTCCCCCAGAATGTTCTAGTTAAAGAAAACAAAACCAAAAACAACTAATTGAGTGGAAAAGGAAATAAGCCAGGTTTCCTTCACACCCAGTGTTGGGAACCGCCATGCAGCACGGGAGGACTGGGGTACGAAGGTTAGCCCACATCTTCTCCACTTTCAGGTGAATCCCTTAACCAAGCCCAGCCACACTCCAGCCTTTGGGGTGATTCAGAACCTTCCAGAGGGGGGAATCCCATTTCTCCTCCTCACACCTCTGCTGGTGGCCGGGAATAGGCCAAGGACCAATGACAGAGCCCAGGAACTTACCCTCTGCTCCTGTGTGGCCACGAAAGTCTGGAACCCGGGAGCCACCCCAAAGCCCAGCTCCTGGATGAAAGGCGGCTCAGACTGACTGTGGATCTGAACTTTCACTCCTGCTTCGAACGTCGTTTCCTCTGAAAGAACAAAGGCGGACAGGGCCATGGGTCAGAGGTGGTAGATGCTGTGGAGTCCTGGGACTGAAAAGCTCAAGGGGACATAGAGAGGCCGAGTCGTAGGCAGAATAAAAGCCCTCAAAGTCATCTACCTCCTTACCCCTGGAAACTGTCCACGTGTTATACCTTCCATGGCAAAGGGACATTGCAGATATGATGAAGTTAGGGATCTTGCAGTGGGGGAATACCCTGAGTATCCACATTTTCCAATGTAATCACAAGGGTCCTTGTAAGAGGGAGGAAGGAGGAGCACAGTCAGAGAGAGAATGGAAACATGCCATGCCACTGGCTTTGAAAACAGAGGAAGGAGCCACAAGCCAAAGGAGGTAGGCAGCTTCCAGAAGCTGGAAAAGGCAAGGAGTGGGGTTTCCGAGAGCCTCCTGCCGACACCTAGATTTTAGCCCACTGAAACCCATCATGACTTCTGGCTTCCAGAACTGTAAGATAATAAGTCTATACCGTGTGAAGCCTCTCAATTGGTGATGATTTATTTCAGTGGCAATCAGAAACTAATTCAGGTCAGTCAGGCCAACATCTTGCTATGGAATGGGATTATGATGTGAATCAAGCCCCTTTATTTTATTTACAAACTTGCCTGCTGGGTGTGAGCTGAAGGTGAGGAGATCAGGATTTGGAAAACGTGATGATACAGCAGCAGACATAGAAATTCAGGGCCGGCCTTGTGTCGTGTATACCACGCGTCTGCCTGTGCCTTGGAGCTAAAGGGGAGGGGCCACTAAAAAGGAAGCTTCTGTCTTTTTTTTCTTTGGCAGGAAAGATGGCCCCTGGCAGTGGGAGGTGGCAGGGGTGGTAGAGTCTGGCTCATCCTGTACATTGGTGGAGAATGAACCAATGGGAAGGCCTTTAACGGGCTTCCTTCTCTGTCTTAATGTTTCCAAACAGCCTGCAGAGTAAGTTTCCTAAAATGCAAACCTGTGCAACTCTCTCCTGTGTTTATAAGGAACCCAGTCCCCTTAACCCGTTCCTGCTCCAGCCTTGCTCTGGGCAGCCTTCTGCTTTGTGGTACCACGTGGTGCAAGCCTCCAGGGCTGCCCAGATTGGTTGTTACTGGTCCTCGCTTGGCACAGATGCACCCAGACCTTTTGTCTGGAGGTCTCTCTACCTCGTCCACCTACACGTCACTGGTCTGGAGGTCTCTCTACCTCGTCCACCTACACGTCACTGGTCACTGAAGAATTAGTTCCCGGCCCCACTCAGAGCAACTCCTTCACTTGTTCTGTAGAATTCTTCACCTAGGCCTGACATGCCTCTGCCACACCAGGTAATAATCTTGTATTTGACGACTGTGTGTCCACAGGCTGGGGCATCCTGAGGCCAAGATCTGGGCTTTCTCTCTGGATTTCAAAGGTCCTGTATAGAACAGGCATCCACCGGGTAGTCAGGAGTGTGTGAACGATTTGCTACTCAAACCTTGCTCACTTATTAATGGACAAGGTCAATGCAGAGTCCAAACCAAGGAGTGTCTTAAAAGGAGAGAGTGAAGAGAGAGTGGGCAAGAGAAGATGGGGGGAGGGGATTGAGGTCAGAGGTCAGGGAGGGTGGGAGACATGTGTCAGCACTGGAGCCATAGCTTGGGGGCAGAGTTTTGGGACATGAACTAAAGCTGGCACAGAAAAGAAGGGTGAAGAAGAAAGGACAGCGTCAGGCAAATGGGCAGGATCCACAAACCGCACGGGGACCAGCCACCAAAGCAGGGAAAGGCGTATGGAGCTGGGTGAGAATTCCGAGGTTGGGGTACACGGAAAGAAGGGTTTAGTAGGCAGACAGGGTCAGGCAGGGCTTTCATAGTCTAGACGAGGAGTGCAGCGGCAGACACAGGGCTAGGAGAAAGAGACCCTCTGTCTGCCATTCTGTGTCTCTGGTCAGGGAGAGAATACCAGGCAATCCACAAGCACACCCCCTTCCCTCCGCAGTCAACTGTTCTTCCATCTCTTTGTGCAGCTCACTGGGTCCAAACTCCTGTCCATCTGTTCCTTGTTGTATATATACCTGTGGTTTTGTGGTCTCACTCCTGCCCATAGAAAATGCCTCAGAGGACAAAGTGCCCATTCCAGTTCATTCCAATGCCCACTGCCTCTCCCAGGGCCTGGCCCACAGGTTGATTGGGTGGGGGGCTGTGGAGAGGGAGGATGGGTAGGAAGACCAGGGTGAGCCGTCAGCTTTCTGGGGATGTGTTTCCTAAGGCCTGCCGGAGAGTGGGGTTGAGGAGAGGTGGAGGAGCCCCAAGAACGGGCTCTCAGTTGGGAACAGAGTGAACGTGTTGTGACGTTAGGATTACAGGATGCCAGTGCTCGGGTGAACTGAACGCACATTCAGAGGCATTCAGAGCGGGAGAGGTGCCAAGGCTTGTTTCCACAGCCAGCTGAGGCTGGGCGCCTGCTAGAGCCCCGAGCTCGGGAAACCTTAGAGCCAGTGAGATGGGCTCAAAGTGGGGCTCTTGCAGCTCACAGGGAGGCGAACAAAGGAAGCCTTTCTGTCCGAAATGCTGTGTGCCTGTGTCACTGAGCACTTCCAAGGCTAATCAGACTCGGCGAGGGTTCACAAGGGGAGTTGATTCAGAAGCAGCAGGTGCTGGGGCAGAGTAAAATCCTGAGGTGATCTCCTATCTTTGCAAACATCCAGCGACCAATGGGCATGGGTGGAGAAGGGTGATGGGTAATAGGTAAACATCTTCTGCTCTCTCCAGACCAGCACTGCCCAGTGGAACTTTCTGCAAAGACGGAATGTTCTATGATCTGTGCTATTCAACATGGCAGCCATGTGAAGTAGGATTAATGCTGCCGAGGCACTGAAATTTTAATTAATTAACGAATTAATTCCCCCTAGCTTTACTGAGGCATAATTGACAAAATTGTAAGATATTTAAAGTGGACAACGTGATGATCTGAGATCTGTATACATTGAAAAACAATTTCTTCCACTTAATTAACACATCCATCACCTCTTACATTTACCTTTCCTTTGCTTGCTTTATTAATTTATTTGAGTTTAATTTTAATTCATTAACTTAAATTGAAATAGCCACATGTGGGAAGCACAGCTGTAGAATGTCAGCTGTGAGCAGACCCCAGCCCTCTCAGACCAGGGCGTGAGGAGGACTCCGCTGCCCTGCTTTCCTAAGCAGCTGCCCCTCTGGGTCTCGTGCCAGGAGGTCCTAGTGATTCGGGTGGGGTTCTGAGCAGCAGAATTCACGGTTCACCGGGGACTGCAGTCCTAGATCGTCTCTGGCTTTGGCCAAAGTGCCACTTACTCTTCCAGCACCGGGTAGAGTTTGTTTCGCTTCCTTCACAGAACTGTCCTTGGCTGAGAGTGAACAACAGCCCCCCTTATATCCTTGTTCCATACCCACCCTCGGTTTCCCCATTTTCTGGATGGGGTATGTTATCATTGTATATATGAAGACCCAGTTTAAGAGCTGAAGTTATCAAACATAGGTGTCAGAGCCAAAGGCTCAGGCTATGCACCTCTGAGCCTCTCGAACAAGAATGAGATTGGAATCACCTACACAAAACAACAGCAGCAGCAATAACAATAACGATAGCTGGGACCACCCACATGACTTTTAGGTCCCAGTGCAATAGGAAAATATGAGGCCCCTTACTAAAGAAGCATTGAGTTTTAAGATAGCAATAACAGAACATTAAGCCCTTCTGAGCACAGGGGATCACACAGGCCACACATCCAATAGGCTGGCCCTGGAGATAACCCAGATTGGTGCTGGGCAGAACTACTGACATTCGCACAGTCCTCTCACCACTAAATGATTCAGCACTGAGCTGCTTCAAAGGGTGCAGGTCCCTAGCTCAGTGAAGACTTGTTTACATATCAGGAATAGCAGGATTCAAAACCCCAGAGAGCAAGAGAGAGCGAGAAAGCAGAGAACGGACAAGTTACTACACACACAGTGTCGGGAACCCTTGTTAATTGGGACCAAGATGAAACCCAGACAGCTTAACATGAAAGATGATGTTGAATCAGGAGGAGGGTAGTAGAGTATGTTCAACCTGCAGAGGCTGAATCTCTTTCATTTTTCAGGAGCGCGGCCATGGTAGTGCCAGGTGAGGTCTACCTGTGGAGCATTTTCTGCCTGTGCAGAGAGGATTTGGGGGCTCTGCAGGAGGAGACAGGGAGCGATGGGTAGAATGTGTAATGAGGCAGGGAAAGTACATTGCAATAAAAGAAGCTTAAATCTTTAATCTTTGCAAATTACAGGAAACATGCTGAGGAAATAAACACTGGAGAGAGAAGTAGGAAGGGAAGCTGCTCTCAAAATCCGGAGAAATTTTCTAGGCTAAGGCAGCATTGGGCTGATACAAAGCAATTTCATGTTGGACAAGTCTGACTTTGTAACCGTGGCTGGGAAAGCCAGCTTGGAAGAAGAGGGTGGAAGGGATGCCAGCTGCATGGTGGGGGGTTATCTCAGTACATGACGGCTTCTGCTTGTTCGACCCCTGGCCACTCCTCGCCACTGTGCTCTCTCCCTGGAAGCTGCCCTGGTCGATACTGTACAGATGGGCTCCTTTGCCCTCTGCTTTTGATTGGGTCCAGCCAATGGTGGCCCAGGTAGGAATCCAAAGGACAGAGAAGGGTCAGGGTGGATCTTCAGTCTCTCAACTTTATTTGCTGGGTCATGACAGGTTAGCAGCTTGTATCCTTGAAGACCACAGCTCTGGGTTGGGAAGCTAGGGAGAACTCTTTTTACTGCCTCCTATCTGGGTTCTGATACCAGCTCATTCCTCTCTTTCCCTTGGGGTGGTTCTCCCTGCGGTAGGGGCCAGGACACGCCACCATTCCATATTGCCTTTCCTCAGCCTTGTCCACACCTTTGTAAACAGTCCTTCATGAATATTTTTCCTTGTATTACCCTGTCTCTGGCAGCTGTTGATTTCCTGTTTGGGTCCTGATTGGTTGAGCCCCCAGTCAGGCCCCTCCTGAGAGAC